CCTGGGCTTCTATATGGTGAGTCAAGAAAGAGGAGCCTCTGTAGGACCCTTCAAATGGCCTTTAATGTTATCTCTCCCTCTCTCTGATTTCTTAAGGAAACACATTCAGTAATTCCTTGTATGATCCCCTGCATGGTCCCCTTTCTTAGCAGCCCTTACCTTCCACTGCTAAGATGGTTCTTTTGACATGGAGCTCCCATATCCTTAAATAGTAGCCTCCTTGAGGTCAGGGAATGCATTTTAATCTCATTGTTACAGCCCAGCACTGTTGTTAAGTTGAAGAGAGATTTAATACAATTAGTTTGATTTCCTATTAAAAGTCCACCTAAAGTCAAATGTATCTGAGTGTCAGGGAGAGAGAAAGAAGTCCTTGGGGCTGTTTGATTCTGAAGGATAACACAGTGTTTGCTGAAAGAAAGCAGTGCAGTACTCTGCATCAGTACCATCAGTTTCTGCCATCTTCGTCTTCATTCCCTCTATGGTACAGTACCATTTGGATATAGATAATTCAAGCCCCTTCTCTACAAGGATGTGAACAATGTCCTTGGGATAACTAAAGAGACACCTGCAATTTTTCTGACACTCTTTGGAGCCACCTGATGCCTGGGTATAAACTGAATGGAGAGTGGAAGAAGAGAGCTAGAGTGGCCTAGTCAGAGTATGCAAATTCAAATGTCAGAGTCTATTCCAGCCACTCATGGAGATCTTTATGATGCTTAACTGGGTGGCCTAAGCCTCACAAGACAGCCATATTTCCCTGTGCCCCCACCATCCACTACCAGAGAAGCAAGCAGTTTACATTGAGTGCTCTTTCTTGGCAAGGCATGGTTCTAGGCACTTTATCTCTGCTTACTCACCTAATTTCCATAAAATTATCACATTTCCATTTTGCATAATAAAATGAGTCAAGGAAATTCATATGATTTGAAGTAAATAACAAAACCAGGATCTCCATGGTGACCTCTGTCTGCATCTTGAAATGGCTGTTTCTGGCCCACTGGGATGCTCCCTACAGGATGCCTCTTGCTAGGATATTACAAATGCAGACTAGCTCTCATAGAACCCCCACAATGCAGAACAGGCTATCTGCTTCCTCTCTCCCTGCTTCTAAAGGCTATGATGGCCTCCCAGTGTTCATAACAGTAGCTGTGTGCCCCCTGCACTTTTTTGGGGATCTGTACTCTGAGAGAGATCATTCATTAGTCACAATCAAATCAGGAGCTCTTTATTAGGAAACTCATCTTTTGGTGGACCCAGAGACATGGCACTGATCCCCATGTCTATGTTAATTTGTGTTCATTAAGTAACTTCTATGTCACCCCAAGAAGCCCTAGTATTAATATTTTGACCTGGCAAAAGACAAAATGATTAACTCAATCATTTGAAACCCCTAACACAAATTTTCAGCTACAATTAGAACACAGAATGAGAGGGAAAGTCAGTGACCTGTGCTCTTTCTAGTGGTGTTCAACATTGAAAGATTAGGGAGAGTGGTTCCATCCTGTGAGCCCTCAAAGACTAACAGGCTGTTTAGTCCAGTGCCTTACAGAATACAAATACCTGTATATTTGGAAACACAGCTCTGAAGTCCAAATTAGAGCAAGAAGTGTTTGTTTACATATGCAGAGTCAAAGTGAGGACAAATGCAAGTCTCAGTGCACTTCTGGACAATGATTTCCACATGAATATTTTCCTTGCCATTTCTGAGTGGGCTAAGGCCAGGCTAATGGTCTCAACTCACCATTGGAGACACATACAGCTTTAATATTAGAGCTCAACTCACACTTGCCAGGGAAATTAATTACTATGCCATAGAGCCTCTGAAAGTACCCCTCTTGGAAAGCACTGTGCTTGGGTCTCATTTCTGAACACTCCACCAGACTCACACAGCCATGAAAAAGAGATTAGAAAGAATTGCTGGACTAGAACCTTCGGATCTCCCACTTTGTGTCATTCTAAAGCCCACTTGAATTCTAAACAAAATGAAGGTCTGTAACAAAGAAAAGTCAAATCCCAGCTTGAATGGTTCACTGTTTCTCTCCCAAGGCATTATGTGCATTCTGTGTGCAACCACACATTTTTGAATAGCATGCCGTTTACCTATTACACGGGTCTACATTTGATGTTCAGGGTGATAGCTTTTTCTTTCAAGTTCTTGTAGGTTAGAACAGTCCTAAAGTGGCTGTGATCTTTTTGTAAAGTGAACTTGTTGCTGAAAATGTGTGTGTTTACGTCTAATTTAATGTTACAGGATCAAATCCAAGACCAAGAACTGCCAAAGCCTGTGTCATGAAATACTTGACCATCTTAACCCTGTCCCCCTGGGAGGCATTCTTTACATTTTCATTAGGAGGAAACTCTAGTATAGTACCTTATGTTTATGGAGCACTCTTCATCTTATGAAGCACCTGGACACATATTATCTCATTTTGCCCTTTTCTGATCTGTGTATGAATGTTTGGGGTGATGTATGTATATGGGGATGTGTGTAAACACATGTGTGTCCACATGCAGAGGCCATAGATAGTCTTAGATGTCTTCCTTGATTGATCTCCTCATTATGCACTGAGTTGGGGTCTTTGACTTGAACCTAGAGGTCTCCAATTAAGCTATTCAAGCTAGCCAGGCTGTTTTATTAATTCTACCCCTACCTCCGAAGTGTTGGATCATAGTTGAGCTGCCACACATGCCCAGAATTTATGTCTGTACCTGCGACCCAAGTCCTGGTACTCAGGCTTATACAATAGCACCTTTGCCACGTAGCCATTTCCCTAGCCTCTTTGCTTTCTTAACGCCCTCAGATGTAGGCAGAGTAAATGACCTACATTTTCTAACAGAGAAACTGAGGCTTGGAGGAAGTAAGTGTCTGATCCAAAATTTAAAAGATAATAAGAATAGATTAAGATCCATGTTTACACTAACTAGTTCCAAGGCAGAAATATCTGGATTCTGCCCCACCTAACACAAAGCGGTGGGGTAGGGCAGAGGTAGGGGTGGGGATATAGCCAAGGCAGGCCTGGTACGCCAAGGATTTCTGTTTCCTGTCTTCAAAAGTCAAGTGTGGGGGCTGGGAAATAGCTTAGAAGATAAGATCACCAGTTGCTATTCTAGAGGACCTGGGTTTGATTACCAGCACCCACATGGTGATTCATACTCATCTGTAATTCCATTTCCAGAGGATCCAATGCCCTCTAATGGCCCCTATAAGCACTACACAGGTAGTGAACAGATACATATGTAGGCAAAACATCCACAAACATACAAAAAAATCACCCCCTTATTAGTTGCCCAATGCAGAATGATCAGCCTTGAAGTCATATGCATACAAAAACAAAAACAGATATATATATTTGTGTGTGTATATATATGTATATATTATACATTATACATAAGTATATGTATACATTATACATAAGTATAATATTATAAATAAAGAAAATAAGGCCATCAATTTGAGAGGAGGTGGGGACAACATGATGGGTATAGAGAAAAAAGAGAAGGGGGAAATTATATAATTGTATTTCAATTTTAAAAATGTAGTAAATAAAAATGTGAAAGCAAAAATAAGTCAGGTGTTCAGACTTCTTGAGACCACATCAATTTCTTATGGAAAATACCCCTGCCTTAATAAATTGATATGACCCTGTTTAATGTTTAATTACTAGAAACCAACTTGTCCTTTCATTCCCCCTATGACAATAAGGCAGAAGTTACCCAGAAGAGCTCACTGCAGAGAGTAAGCTGAGGAGCTGATGGGTAAAATCAGACCATGATTGTGACTACCCCCAACCAGCTGCCATGTGGGTTCTGTGCATGTTGGGTTTTGTACAGATGTAGCCCAAGTATGCTTCTGCGTTATTAGCCTATCTCCTTACGTAACTGACCTTAAGCCGTTATGTAACAGTGCAAGGCTATGATTCAGTGTACTGTTCTTTCCCACTCAGTATTATTAGAAGCTATTGGGGAAACGCTGCTGGTGCTCTCCAGAAAGGAGTCTTTTAATCTTCTATTTAAAGACCTTGTGTTTTCCTGTGATGAGGAATAAAAGCTAAAGCTGCCACATACAAGACACAGCATGATAATCACTATTTTTGTGACGTTTGGTCATCGCCAGAACAGTTTATGTGGTCGACAGATGAGAAAAAACATTAAGTACAATTACTACGTGGTAAACACACATCGGGTGTGCCAGATAATGTATTACTAAAGATATCAACGTGGATGAGTTGAGTCACTTAATTAAAATTTCCTAACAAGGCATAAAAGAGGAAACTGAGTAGTATCCCTGAGTGTCAATGTGTTACAAATATTAAATCATCTCTTATGGGATTTTCTTCCTAAGATGTGAACAGTAGTATACATGTGAATATACCTTTTAAAATTGAAATAGTAATGCTCAATATAAAGAATATTATTAATAGGTGTTGATATACCTTTGGGGGAAAAATGTCCAAAAGGAATTGTTTATGAGGTCCATGAAAGGGGGATTTTAAGAAACACTAACAAAGGGAGTTCACTAGAGTTTGTTAGCATTGCTTTTGGTCCCGCAGTGGCTGCTCACGGATGCCATCGTGCATTTGCAGCACCCATGACTTCCTTCCCTAGTTACCCAGATCCCTAGAGCAGGCACCATGAAACTGCCACTCCTCTAGGCTTGTGCTCTGAACTCCCAACTCTTTGTCAGAACGCTCAGACTACCTCGTTTCTTTATTGTTAAGCAATTGCAATCTGGAAAAGATTCGTTCTTCACAGATTTATTTGACATCTGGTGGCTTATTCATTCAACAATGTCATACCTAAAGGAAGATTTCTCCCTGTGTCCTTCACTGTCTCCTACCACCCCATCCATGTAAAGTTACCTATCATGTTGCAATATCATAATAGTATTAGAACCACTTAAGGGCTGGTGAGACGGTTCAGTGTGTAAAATGCTTCCTTAAGCATGAGGGCGTGAGTTGGGATTTCCAGAACCCACAAGAAGGCCTTATGCATCAACATACCTGTAACCTCGGTGCTGGGGACAGGGGTGGAGACAGAACAACCTTGGGCTCTCACTTGGGCCAGTTAGTCTAGGTGAAAAGAGTGAGATCCAAGCTCAGTGAGAGGCCATGTCTCAAAATAAAACAAATAAAAGAAGCAACACCAACGTCCACTCCTGGACACAAACTCCTAAACATTAAGAAATCACCGTTTCCCTGGAGAACTTCTGGTGTTTAACTAAAAGATCATTTTGTTTTTCTGAGTCATTAACGAATGGTTCTAACAAATTGAATTGGGAACTGTACTAGCAGCTCATTTTCCTTCCAGCAGATTAACCTGGGTGCTGGGAGGTGCTGGGGCCAGTTCTTTGGAGACTGAGCCCTGCTTCTTTCTGACAATTCATTTCTAAAGCAGAGTCAGCTCATAAGAAAACAAGAAGAGTAAGTCACAGCCCAGAAAGAATGATTAGTTCCAAGAGGTTGCCCAGATCCGCATATATAGACACTGTTCTCTCAAGCAAAACAAGTTTTCCTTCTGCTTTGGTGTGTTTGAATTTTTCATACAAGTTCTCACTGTCTATCCCAGCCTGGCTCGGTACTTGTTATCTCATAATCCTCCTGCCTCAGCCTCTGATGTGATAGGATTACAGTTTTGTGCCAACTCACTTGATTTTAAAAAGAGTTTTAAGACCACATATCTCATGAGTAAACAGATGAAGAAGGTTCATTAGCAGCTTCACTGAGTTAAAAGAGGATCACCCCAATCTGTATCCAAAGGAAAGAAAGAAGGAGGGAGG